AATATAAGGCCTTAACTTATTTATATGGAGTTCTCTAATACTTCCGTTTTCCATTTCGATTTTGGCAGAGTGTGGCCTGGGAAGTTTGATCACGGTAGCTGGTCCTTGCCACGTGTTGAGCAATTTATGTGATGATGATGGCATTAACACGAGGACTTTGTACGTAACTGTTCTCCTCAATTAGCATTTTTACAACTTTCACAGAATTTTTTAACATCTTGCTTAATACTAGGCCAAACGAATGAGTACTTTATTCGTTGAATTGTCTTTTCCTCACTGAGGTGGCCGGCAAGAGGGATTTCATGTACCATTTTTAGGAATTCCCTTCTTTTTTTTAAAGGTAACACAACTTGCTTAATGTTTTCACCACAGATATATTCGGAATTAAGTAATATGCCATCATCGGAAGTATATGAATTTTGATTTTTATTTGCCCATTCAAAGCATTTTTTCAGAGTTTCGTCTTGTTCTTGATGTGTCTTGAATTCTAGTCTTATTATGTTTATTGTTTTCAGAGACTCTATGTTTTCTTGGGAAATCTGATTAACAACAGCCAAATTTGTAGTATTGTCTTCAACTGGTGAGGGTTCATCATCTGTCTCTTTGTACTCTAAGGGGGATGCATCCCAATGACGATCACTGCTCCACAGTTTAATATTTCCACAGAGGGTTTCATAAGCTGAAGAACTCAATAGCAAGTCGGTAACTAGTTTTTTGAAACAGCACACGTAATGGACACTCTCGCAAGGTGTGTTGTCAACCAATTTCTCACGGACTACTGAAATTTGTGCTCCCGTGTCTACGATTCCATTTAGAATAATATCTCCACATTTAACTTTGACAAGTTTTAATTCATCTATGTTTCTAGACACGTCCACTGATTTTGAAACAGGAATAGAGATCTTGGCAGTTAGCACTTCTGGTTTTTCTTTTTCTGCAAGGGGTGCTTGTGTTTGTATTAAGTTGTTTTGTGCTGTTACAGGAGCACTTCTTGGTATCCAATTTTTGGTACATAACTTAGATGTATGACCTTCTTTTCCACAATTATAGCAAGTTAGTTTGAAACTAGGCTTTTGTGGTTCGTCACTCTTACGGGATGGGTACACTCTTGGCGTGTTCTCAGCGGACAGCGATTTATTTCTGGAAGTGGAGAACGAAGTTGCCATTTTTCATTAGTTCTGTCTGTTGATGGATTACCACCAGTCCGTTTTGAGATATTACGAACACTGTCATATTCGTCAAGTTTATCAGCTAATTTGGTTGGAGAAACGAACTTCGCCCAGTCGTCAAGAAGATGGTCTCTTACTTTCATAGGGTACTCTTTTTCTTAATTTGGTCAGTAATAACCAAGGTATTTTAACCCGGCGGCAAAGCTGTTTGTGTGATTCAAGACCATTGATCCATTCTTCAAAATGACTTGTGAATTTCGTAGCGAAAATCTCTCCATGATTTTTCAGCGCTCTTTTGCATCACAAATTTTTTTCTGAAGCTTTCAGGATTTAATTTAAATCTCTTCAATAAAATGGCCTTAATGTACTCATAATCTTCAAAATTTTCTTCAGATTTCCTACCAATTAATTGAATGATTTCAGATGGCATTAAAGTCAATAAACATGAAACCCAATCTTTAGGATCAATCTTTGTCCTTTTAGCATGTCTTTCAAATAAGGATGAATAAATCACAATATAATCGTGTCTTAAATTGAATTTGGGAATATGCTTAATTAAATCAAAATTATGATGTCCATTTTCACTTGCTGGTGGAGTTTGTGTTAATCGAACACGAGATTCAATTTCGAGTTTCCTCAATTCAAACTCCATTTGCTCTCTTTTCTGCTGTGCTTCTAATTCTTCTTTACTTCGTTGTTCCTCAATCTCTTCTTTCCTTCGCTGTTCCTCAAGCTCTCCTTTCCTTCGCCTTTCCTTCGCTGTTCCTCAATCTCTTCTTTCTCCTTTCTTCGCTGTTCCTCTTCTTTTCTTTTCCTCTCTTCAATAATCGTTAAAAACACTTCTTTAGCAAATGCTTCATCATATGTATCACTTTGAATTATTTCATTTTTTATCGCCACTATTCTCATACTTGGATCTACTTGAATTTCTAATTCAGCAGCTAAAACCAGGAAATCCTCTTTTTTCCCACTTCCCATAAAAGCAATGTCTCGATTTTAAATAAACCTTATTCTTTGCAAATTTAATTTAAAAAAAAAAAAAAAAAAAAAAAAAAAAACTAATTTCTTGTTAATGCGTCCTTCAATTTATCCTTAACATTAGTTACAGTATGAACTCCCTGATTGCGGTTTTCTCTTTCGTTGGGGAAACAAAAAAAAACAAAAAAAAAAAAAATCGTTTCTATGTGTAACACTGTAGCAGCTGGTTGACGCCAAGTACTGGTTTTTGATTTTATTCAGTCAATTTACTCTTTTATAAAAAGCAATTTTTTTTCTATTTAAATATAATTCACAATGAATTTAATTTTATTCGGCACGAAAATCAATCAGTGGAATCAATACTTAATGTGTTGTTCATCTACTCTGGCGAGTCAAACGAAATTACATTTGAACACTGGCGTATTCATTACTTTGACAAGTAAATTAACTAAGATTCCATGACGGAAACAATAATTAACTTTTCATAATCTTAACTAATTATTTTACGTTTACAAGGTAAATTGAGCTCTCACCTGAGTTATTTTGGTTCGTAATTATATGCGGGGAAACCCCGATCCTGTCGACTATGCGATCAAAGTATGAGTAAAAATCCTTTCCTTATTTCAATATAACGGATATTGAACCTTGTAAGAAGAACAAAGCTAAATTTTCGGAAGGAACAAAATACTTTTATTTGAATTTTAAAACAGAACCAAAAAAATAAATACTGCAGCTCTTAATAATCAAAATTTTAAACTCTTAACTACTACAGTTAAAACTCTTACAACTATTCAAATACTAAAATCTTCAACTCTCCAAACAAAATATATCAAAAAAATCTTCCGAATCCCTTCTTGTTGCCACATCGTAAAATGCAAGTCCTTATCCTATTATTTATATTTCACGTTCTCTTTAAGTCATGATCTTTACAAAAATTCACCATTACAGTTTGACTATTTTGCCATGTAATCGCTTTTGGTTTTTTTAAGAAAAGGAAATTCACTTCTGAGATCATCTTTGAATTTGCATCCTCTGTTTTTACTCATTATGTTAAAAATCTAAAGTACTTTTTTATAAATTTATAAATTATATTATAAATTTTTATCTATATATATTGCTTAAAAACACAGTAAGTAGGTACATAATTACATAAAAATATTTTATTGTTAGTTTAAAAATGAAATTAATTTGTTTGTTATAAAGTAACTATATTTTAAAAATTATTTAAATTTTAATCCTATATTTCTTTCTAAATAATAACAATACTAACTTGTATTATTTTTCCTCTATATTTGCCGTAACGTAAGTTGTAAGCCTTACTTTCAAGGCCGACGATAGACCTTTTCCCGCCACTATAAAATATAAATAATAAGAGTACTTACTGTCTGCTAAATTCAAAAAAACTTATGTGTTTATGAAATAAATAAATAAATAACGCACTTAAATTATCTGAATAGCTGATTTATTGACATAACTTGTTTCAGTAGCACTAGCACGCAGTATGATGTCTATCATTTAACAGACAGTTACAAAATGTTTTCGTCATTGCCAGTGCCAAAAAATGCCATTAAGTCCAAACAATGGGGGTCGAGTTCTAACAGCTGATCAACAATGCGAACTTTGATTAACAGTTCTTGATAAAAAGTTGTCAACAATAATTTGTTATTATTAAAATTTAACATTATAAAACTAAGAAAAATAATATAACACTCAACGTCTGTAATGAAGCCGGTCTCGAGCCATATGGACGACGGAATGGCACAGGGTTGTGTTCTCAGATGAGTCACACTGCTTTTCTCAATGATAGCAATGTTGCAATGATAGTCGCCGCATACGAGTGTGGCATCGTTGTGGAAACAGGTCCAATCCTGCAACAATTGTGGAACGCCCCACCGCGTGACAACGCGGCATCATCGTTTGGGGCACAACTACGTAAGGGGCATCATCGTTTGGGGCGCAACAGCGTACGACACTCTGCTCGCATCATCCAAAGTGCTCTGCAAGGTGTAAGATGCTTCCCTGACCACCGTTTTGTCCTGATCCCTCACCAATCGAACATATTTGGGATGTGATTGGACTCCATTTGCAGACCATGCCATTGCCACTTTCAGAAGACGAACTGTGACAAATGATTGACAGGGAATGGAGATCCATTCCTCAGGACACCATCCGTATCTCATTGATTTTGTACCTAGACATGTTGCTTTGTGTATCGCCCTCCAAGGTGGTCGTACAACCTACTGAGCCAGCACTGTTCTCCCTCTGTATTATGCATATCATTTTGAAATAAAATTCACTTATTATTCTTTGCTGTCTCTCTCTGTTTGCCAAATTTCATCACTTTCTGGACACTTTTTGAGATTGACTTTTCAATGTCGATTAGTGTTCCAGCCTTTGGCTTGAAAGCCGTTTGTCAGAAAAATCCCAACTGAAAATGGCGTATTTTTTAAATTTGTAGTCAAAGAGTTAAAGAAGCATTGTTTTCATAGTTTTTCGAACATTCCTCGGGATCGCGATGAAACTTTGAGGGGCATGATATCCTGTGGCCTGAATGAAGCCACTGCTTGCCTTTATCAAAAATAGAGTTATAATTATATAATTTAATAACAAACATTCATTTTAATGTATTATCAGGAATTTTAAGCTCTTATTCCTCTTCTCATCTTGATGGTTCATAATTTTAGGTGTTATTTTGACTTTTAGTTTCTGAAACTATTTCTTATCGTTGCCACCACCAAAGAAAAGTTATTTACTACTAAAACACATTTTACATCAACATTCATCTTAGTTATGTATGAGTTTTTCATTGTTCATGTTTCACAGTCAATTTTTATGATCTGTAATTTGACTGCGCAAAATAAGTGTATATATTAACTTTTTTAGGTACTGTCACTGGCTGCTCTTATCAGTAATGTTGAGGGATACTGTGAAAATGATGTTGGACGATACGGGTTTTTCTTATTTGTGGTCATTGTATCGATGTTACAAGCCATTGTTATTATCATAATTTTCGTCCTCCAGCTAGAGAAAAAAATTCCTTTTGTAAATGTCTCCTTAGTGGTAAGTATTTTAATTTGAGAACTATTTTTTATATAAAACAAAATTCTCTAATGTGTGAAATTATTTTCCACGTATAATTTTAAATCATAATTTCACAGTTCTTTTAAACTAAAAGTAAAATTTAAAATTCGAATACCTTTTGTATATTAAAAGTTTTCAGGAGAAATTAGTTTGAATTCATTTATAAGAACTATTATGATTTGATAAATATTAATGAATGAATTGAATCTAGAATTTTGTTCCTAATATGAAATATTTTTGTAAGTAATTTTTCTGTTCATTTTTTAGCTTCTTTTGAATGATTGCGTTGTCTTAATCTTTTACTTCATCACTTGCACATTAGCTATGTTATCCATAGGGCGATGCCAATATAGAGTTGCAGCGAGAATTATTGCAATGGTAAGATGTATGTTTCTTTTTCTCCAATTTTAATATGAGACACAATAAAAGAGCTTTTTATTTCGCATGAATTCCTTTGAAACAAAATAAAATGTGACCACGGTTAGCATATTTCACAAGTGCACATCTGTGTAGCCACCAAGGGAGTGGCTTCTAGGATGGACCAATGGGCATCGGTGGGAACAGATAAATAGTTCGGTGAACTTTATCGTAGTTTTCAAATTCTTCAAGACATACATTTTAATGACTAATTTTGTGAACTTGTTTAGGGATGAAATAAAAACATAAAAGATTTTCTTCTGCATAGATCACAATTATCCTTCCTGTTCCGCAAATAGGTCAGTCGTAATCATGAATGCATAATTTAAATTGAATCCAACTATTTGTGCTCATATCTGCGTTGTTAGTGGTCTGACACTAAATGCAGCTCCATCTTTTTCTATAAAGAATATAAAAAGAAAAGAAAATGTCTGTATCATAATCTTGGTACCGAAAAAAAAATCGCGTTTTTGGCAGTGCTGTTGAAATGAAATGTCTTATGAAAGGTACAGTCCGGAGAGAAAAATCTCACACATTCATAGAACGTCAGAGTGAGCTAGCTGTACGTCGGTGTAATAAGAAGATGACAAGCCAACTATATGCGCCGACCATGCATTTCAAGTGATTTTAGAGATGAGACATAGAAGAATTGGTTGAAAAAGCAATGAGTTTATAAAGTTTAGTTTCCTTTGGTAGCAGAAACTAGCATCAAACTGCCAACACACTTGGATATAACAATCGCTTCACAGAGTCTTGAAAACGTTTAAAACAACCTTTTCTTTACATCAGAACTTTAATATAAACGCACGACCGATGCTTAACAAAACAAGCACCATTTGTGGAGATGAAGCTTAAAGTAACTAAGTTCAAATTTAAAACTATTCCCAGGAGTCAAAGACTACACATTTGATTTAACGCAAAGTTGGTTGAAACTTCATCGGTGTAAAGGTTTAAATGTCGGCAGCAAATAACGCAAAGCGGAAGAATTACAGTCAAAAGTCGTTAATTCGGACACCCATAATCCGGAATGATCTATAATCCGGACCTCAAAGCTAAAAACGTCTACGCATGCGCCACGTTGACACATGCGCATAGGCGTTTACGCGTGCGCGTAAGGCCTTCACCACTGCGCATATGCGTGTGCGCAAGCGCAGAATACGTTTTCGCGTGCGCTTTTAATGTGTAACGGACGGTATAAGCTAAAATTATCTATTTCACTTAATGTTGATGATTGCATTGTTCCTTAATCTTCGAATTGGATGCGGCTTATTATTTTTTGCAGACTGTAAGAGCAATTTTATAAAAGTAAACTTGAACTTTCGATTATGTGAAATAGAATTTCCGATGCTGGAGCTCCCAAAGGATCTACAAAACGAAAGTATGTTTCGATGTCCGTCAAACAAAAAGTGGAATTGCTGCAAAAAAGGGATAAAGACATGAAGAAGGTGACAGAGAGGTTAGTGAAAACGAAAAAATTTTGATTGACAAGTTAGTCGGTATTCTTGGCACAGCAATTATGGGACTTGAACAGCGGAAGTTTGTAACTGAACAAGAAATTATGTCTGTTTATAGAATTAAAGAGAAAGTATTATCACATAAAACAAAGCAACTTAAACAACTTACATTGAAAAAAATGTTTAATAAAGTAAACAAATAAATATTAAGCTTTTTTTTTTTTTTTTTTTTTTGTAAATTTTGATATCCTTTAGATCATAATTGTTCTTTATTTCATAAATTACGGTTTCATATTTTTAATTTTAGAATTTCGTCATGCCATCTTACGAGATTTAAACTGATGATCTATAATCCGGAAAAATCGATAATCTGGAATCGCCGAAGTCCTGACGAGTCCGGATACTTTTGACTGTATAGTCTTATTACAGCTAGACTTTTGACTGTATAGTCTTATTACAGCTAGATTTTTGCTGTATAGTCTTATTACAGCTAGCCAAACTTATATGGCCTCGAAAGGCTGAAATACGCTTTGTCTTACAATTCAAAACCCTCGACTTAACAGGCTGAAATTATAAATAACTGGCTAAATAGAATAATAACCCAAAAATATCCCCTCCCACCATAATTTAATTAATCGCAAAGATCTTTAACAACCTTGTTAAGATTTTAAATTATAAACCTAACTAGGAGAAAACATTTTACAAGTAAGTAATTACAATTGTAACTAAAGATAAATTAAAATTTTACAGAAGATTCGATCAGTGGACGATAAATTCATGATATCAAGAGATTCTGACTATAATCTTATCTCCTTCTAGGCATCTGAAAGTAAAAATTACTTTAGCAAAAATATTTAACTCCTTTTAAATATTTACATTCTATTTCAACTTAAAATCTTTCGTACACTTAGCATTTTCTCTATAATTTTAATTTTCTCACTCCCTGGTCTCCAGATATGTACTGTAATGTAAGAGCGTGTATACGAGTACGAAATATTTCAGCACTATCACTTGACCGAAATCCTACATATTCGTAACTTAGACGTACTAGACATCAATAAACACATTACTTTCGAAACTATTCTCATGTGCTAAGTTCAAAATTTACTAAATGTGAGTGTTGGCCGGACAGCCTAACCTTTTTAACTTTAACAGCCTAACTAACAAATTGCATTCACAGTGCTAACTTTAACTTATTTTATTATAACTTGCTAACTTACACATAAGCATTTCATTCACAAATCAGCTTTACTTTTAGACATAGTTAACAGAAAAATTTTACGTTTATAAAGTAATTTAGCAAGCATACTTTATGACATCTTTACAATTTATTGATATTTAAAAGATTACTCAGGTTGAAGTTTACATCGCAAGATACAGAAGTTACTTAAATTTATTCTACAAATACGCCAAACTTTCTCAAAACAATCTCTTGGACTACATCAAAATTTCATTTTTGTGCTAAATTAAAATCCTTCAGATAATTCAGATAATGCATAATTAAAGTACAAGCTTCTTGCTACATACAAATCTAAAATGACCTCGCTTGAGAGAAAAACGTAAAATAAGGAGCAACTGTTGCATTTAAGATATAAACCAAAAACTGAATAATACGTAAAGGAAATAAATTTCACTTATGTTTTATTTCTGTAGTAATACTTCATTTGCTTGTCCATTTTCGAATTTTTCGCTTCAGGGCTTTTTTCTGGATCCTAGTGGACCTCCTTTTCGGTTGGGGAAATTCTGGCGGTGCCGACCCCTTCCTTGCTACTGGAATCCACCCCTGCTGATTTTGCTTGAACTTGATCGGCTATGCTTTCTGTTGCTATGCCGTCGAAATCTTTCCTTTGAAACTTTCTCCGCTGCGGCGGCTCATCGTCCATCGGGGAATTTCCATGTTAATTCTGCTATAGGTAACCATACTTTCTCACGTCGCTGCGAACCTCTTTCGGTACCTGATTCCATGGACTTTGGCTTTCCACTGGTTATCACTGATTATTCTGGGCTCCCTGCGTCTACTTTATCCTTGTAACTTTCCTCTCTTCCTTAATTCATTTTTTAACCTTCGACTTAAATACGCTTAACATGATTTGCATTCTGGTGAGGAAATGGAAAGGAGAAGTGATAGTATAGGCTGAAATTATAAATAACTGGTTAAATAAAATAATAATAACCCTATAAGCGATAATGTGGATTTTTTTGCAGTAGGACAGGACACCAGAATTTCACTATCAATTGTACAAGTATAATTCCACCGCAGTAACTGTACAGCTCTGCTTTAGTTTTGATGGAGAGCATCCCATCGAAAAAATTTGACGTGTCTTCCAATTCTCTATCCCTGCCACCAAAGCTCTCAAGAGGACTCTATGGAAGAGTGTGGATCTTCGCTGTCCATTGGCGATTAAATATTCTCATTGCATTTATCAAAAACTTCGGTTAGATATAATGCACAGTAAAATTGTTCTTTTTTTTAAGACTTCAAATGCTCACCTTTCGACCGACGATCTCTGTTTAGTGTTGCCGTATATCGGGAGCTACGTGGAAGTAAGACATGCTTCTTATCACTATCACAACAACTCTGAGCTTTCCTATGTTTTAAATGATGCATTCCTGTTGCAGACACTCCATTTCTACAAACACCCATGCCCTCTCTAGAACCCGCACCCAGACTCAACGATGCAAGAGCCAGCTTGGCTAACCATTATACCGATCGATCAAGGCACCGTTTTCTTTTTTTTTGGGGGGGACAGCAGAAGAGTGGGGCGGTATGAATGCGTTGAACACTATATATCAGTGACAAGAGTAAAAATGTGGCGTAAGCGTTTTAAAAGAGAGTGATCATCTTTGTCAGACGACTAGCAATATGATTACACCAAAGCACATCACAGATGATATTGCTGCAGAGGTGAATGAGCTCAAACAAGATAGATTTTCAAGTATGGAAAAAATCGCTGACGTTGTCTGTTTTAAGTGTTGAAATAGATTATATGACTCTTAACGGAGGAAATTAAGTGTACAGCCAATAGGTACCTTGCAATGAGAATCAAGAGGTATGTCATATTGCTATACCTCTGCGGCGTCTGTAGCAATAGGCAGGAGGAATGGCTTCTTGTTACGGCTATGAGACATGTGACATTGCTTTGAGCCGGAATCAAAGCATCAATCTGTTCAGCAAACCATTCAGGTTTCTTTCCACTCGAAAAAGTCCAAAACAAATCACACTAATGTGAAAAAATTGCATTCTTCTCTGATTGGGAAGGATCTCTTCCTGTCAATTTCTTGCAGCACAAAGCTACCGAAAATGTGCAGTGTTGTGGAGAGATATTAACTTCATCGCGACAATCAGTCAAGCCGACTAGATCTTGAAAGCCTTTCAATATATTTTTTTTTCCTCCACGGTAAGCTTCTTTTCATGATTTTCCTTCATGACAAAGCGAATACGATCTATGATTACCCGAGGAAGATCAAATAGAAAATTTTGAATCCTCTTCTACACTTCGGATCTTTCTTCCTAGGATTTAACTTATTTTTTTTTTCGTAATAAAGAACGCTTTGCAAAGATAACGTTTTTAGTCGAACTTTTTTTTTTTTTAAATAATACGAAACAGAGAATTTGGTGTTTGTAAGAACAACCTAATGACTCTTATAATAACTCTGTTATAAGAATCTTTCTCTCCGGGATATATATCTAAATAAAAAAGATAAATATTTCGAGAAATATTAAATTCTTACATTATAGGACCTCTTGCTGCTTTTTTATTAAATGCGAATTGTACTTCCGATATTCATGTGTGCTAAATTTTGTTATGAAGGGCCACTAAAAAATTACTTGTCCTTTAACTTTGTAATTAGAAAATGTCTTCGATTTTATTGGTAAAGCATTAAAAAGCTATATCTTATTCTATCGATTTTTACCCTTTTGTATGAGTTGAGTTGGATTCAATTTAATTTTGAACAACGAATTATTAAAATCGTAAAAAACAACCTTATATTTAGCGTAGGTATAATAAAACACTCAATCGATTTCGAGGGCAGCTAAAGGTCCCTCCTCATCAGGAGAAAGAAATACATAGAAAGAAGAAAATAGGAGAAGGAGTCACAGAAACACATAGTGCTTATCAGCACTGCACGTGGTTATAACTAGATTTTTAATCAGAGTTGCACTGGCCGCCTACTTTTACTGAGCCAGGCTGTCTGATCAAGCATAAAGAAATATTAGCGAAGTTAAAATAGGGAGCGAGGGGCAAATGCACATTACGCTCAAAATCTGAACTTCAAATAATGGAAAGCAACCACTGAACGGATTTTTATACCCTCTGGTAGTACCAAGCGCGAGGAGGTAACGCCATCTATCGGCAAAAATAATTGAATTAAGATAGTAGAATTTTAAAGGCATTAGAAGGGACTGGATTGGACTTCAAATCATTAACTAAACTTTCTAAATCTTTGTGAATGTGAAAAGCCTCAAGAAATGGAAGAAGCCTTTTGGATGATTTTTGCAGACCCAAAATCAAAATTATGGTTAAAAGTCCAGCTATGATACGCTATTGAAGACTTGTTAATTTCGCCTTTTTTGACATAAGATTCATGTTCCTTGATACGAAACTTCAACGCTCTTTTTGTTTGGCCAATATATCTTAAACCACACTGACATGATATACTATAAATTCCCCAAGAATTCAAGACAGAAACGCAATCTTTTAGAATCGAAGGGTGAATTTTATTAATAGGGGAGAAACCGACTTGAAAATTGAATTTCTGGAGAATCCGTGCAATTTTATAGCTAACAGAAGGATAAAATGGAAGCACGACAAGGTCATTAATATTATTTCTAACAGTGGAATGTCTTCTTTGATGGGAATCAGAAATTTTTTGACGGCTACGGCTTTATCAATAATCACGGGAGAAAATCCACGGTCAATCGCAACTGCTCTCAAATAATTAAGTTCATTGGTAAGCAAAGATTCAGAGGAAACAAACTTTTAGCGCGCGGAAAACATAGGTAAAAAGAGCCACCATTTTTGCTTAACAGGGTGCATGGACTTGGCATGGGGTGGGTAAACAAACTGCAAAGGTTTACGGTACACAGTGGTGCTAAAATAGGTTTCATTGCGGATTATAAGAATATCGAGGAAGGGGAGGGAATTGTTGGATTCAATTTCAAGAGTGAATTGGATGGCTGGATCAATTGAATTCATAATAGATAGAATCTCGGATAAATCCTCTTTATAAAACGTCAAAAAGTGCGAAAGTGTCGTCAACATACCGAATCCAAACGAAAAGATAATTTATCAAAATAATTTCATCTCAAAATAGTGCAATATAAATGTCAGCAAGTACCGGACTGAGAGGATTACCCATAGCCAATCCTTCAACTTGACGAAAATATGCATTTGGAAAACAAAGTGGGTTTGACTTAGAGAAACTTTAGTAAGCGAAACCAACTCATTAATTTCAGTATGTGTGAAGTGAAATTCCCGAAGCCTAGTTTCAAGACAATTTAGTGCTCCTTCGACCGGAACATTAGTAAACAATGATTTGACATCAAATGAAACCTAATGGAACGAAGTGGGAAATATTAGTTTCCAGATTTTTCTCCTCTACTTGCTAACAATATTCACACTGTAAAAAATTCTGTTGAAGTCATTGATAAACTTAAAAATATTTCCCACTTCGTTCCATTATGGTTTCATTTGATGTCCAAATCATGGTTTTACTAATGTTCCGCCGGTCGAAGGAGCATTAAATTGTCTTGAAACTAGGCTTCGGGAATTTCACTTCACACATACTGAAATTAATGAGTTGGTTTCGCTTACTAAAGTTTCTCTAAGTCAAACCACTTGTTTTCCAAAATGCATATTTTCGTCAAGTTGAAGGATTGGCTATGGGTAATCCTCTCAGTCCGGTACTTGCTGACATTTATATGCACTATTTTTGAGATGAAATTATTTGATAAATTATCTTTTCGTCTTTGGATTCGGTATGTTGACGACACTTTCGCACTTTTTGACGGTTATAGAGAGGATTTATCCGAGATTCTATCTATTATGAATTCAATTGATCCAGCCATCCAATTCACTCTTGAAATTGAATCCAACAATTCCCTCCCCTTCCTCGATATTCTTATAATCCGCAATGAAACCTATTTTAGCACCACTGTGTACCGTAAACCCTTTGCAGTTTGTTTACCACCCCATGCCAAGTCATGCCACCCTGTTAAGCAAAAAATGGCTTCTTTTTACTATTATGTTTTCCGCGCGCTAAAAGTTTGTTCCTCTGAATCTTTGCTTACCAATGAACTTAATTATTTGAGAGCAGTTGCGATTGACCGTGGATTTTCTCCCGTGATTATTGATAAAGCCGTCAAAAAATTTTCTGATTCCCATCAAAGAAGACATTCCACTGTTAGAAATAATATTAATGACCTTGTCGTGCTTCCATTTTATCCTTCTGTTAGCTATAAAATTGCACGGATTCTCCAGAAATTCAATTTTCAAGTCGGTTTTCTCCCCTATTAATAAAATTCACCCTTCGATTCTAAAAGATTGCGTTTCTCTGTCTTGAATTCTTGGGGAATTTATAGTATATCATGTCAGTGTGGTTTAAGATATATTGGCCAAACAAAAAGAGCGTTGAAGTTTCGTATCAAGGAACATGAATCTTATGTCAAAAAAGGCGAAATTAACAAGTCTTCAATAGCGTATCATAGCTGGACTTTTAACCATAATTTTTGATTTTGGGTCTGCAAAAAATCATCCAAAAGGCTTCTTCTTCATAGGCGAATTGGATTTTCTTGAGGCTTTTCACATTCACAAAGATTTAGAAAGTTTAGTTAATGATTTGAAGTCCAATCCAGTCCTTCCTAATGCTTTAAAAACTTCTACTATCTTAATTCAATTATTTTTGCCGATAGATGGCGTTACCTCCTCGCGCTTGGTACTACCAGAGGGTATAAAAAATCCGTTCAGTGGTTGCTTTCCATTATTTGAAGTTCAGATTTTGAGCGTAATGTGCATTTTGCCCCTCGCTCCCTATTTTATTTTAACTTCGCTAATATTTCTTTATGCTTGATCAGACAGCCTGGCTCAGTAAAAGTAGGCGGCCAGTGCAACTCTGATTAAAAATCTAGTTATAACCACGTGCAGTGCTGATAAGCACTACGTGTTTCTGTGACTCCTTTTCCTATTTCTTCTTCTTTCTATGTATTTCTTTTCCTGATGAGGAGGGACCTTTAGCTGCCCTCGAAATCGATTGAGTGTTTCATTATACCTACGCTAAATATAAGGTTGTTTTTTACGTTTTTGATTGTCACATTAGCGTGTTTCTCTTCTAGTCTAACGAATTATTACTTGAGAAAACAGTGACTCCAGTATGCTAATGAGACTGTGTTTCCAACTATTCTATTCTTATTATCACATTCTTTAAAATGCAGTTTCTTTTAGTAGGGAGAGAACGACAATGAGATAATTATTTGCGATTCTGTGTTGAAATTTAATGCAACTTTTTGTGTATAGGAAATTGTCTTTACTAACATTTTTTAGCAAGTTAAATATATGGTACACATTACTGGTAATTAAAAAAGTCTAGAACCCACTATTGGAAAACAAGAATAGCTGTTATACAAATTAAACAAAAAAAAAAAAAAAAAAAAAAGGGAAAATTACGATAAAAGGAATCACAACAGAGGTAAAAGAGTTAAATTTAATTAAAATTTGGCGGAAGCAATAGATGATATATTTCTTTTTTTACTTCAATTTTCAACAAGATCTATTCAAAAGTATAAACTTTTTTGTTGTTATTAAGAAGTTTTTATTTGTATTTGTAGACTTTAATACTTTTTATCATTGCAGCTTTTCTCAGTTGCACTATTTCTAGTGATTGTTGGATTGAATTATACGGGTTACAAATGGTGGAAAGAAACCAGCTCGAAAGAAAACTCCAAAGATCCCGGAACCACAATTACAGAATCATCTCCAACAGTTCTGGCTTGAAAATTTGCAAGACCACTTGCCTGAAAATTCTTGATACGATTGTTTCCAAGGGCTTTCTACTTCCATATCTGAATTTTTTCTTAAGGTCTTTGATATAAAAAAAACTGTGCTGGATTATATCTAGCGGGAAATCACAGAGTTTTATTTTTTAATTTAAATGGTTTGCTAACTATATTTGTAATGCTTTGTTCTATACTTGTGACGGTTAGTTGCCCCAGATATAGATTATTTATTGAAGACTTTATATCTAATTTAGGCTACATAATTTCCTAATACGAATGACAAATAAGAGTTATATATAAAAGTATGCAAAAGTTCGGGGAAAGGTTCCGTAAGCATTAAGTTCTAAGAGTTATAACGATGAAAATCATTCATTTTTCAAAGTAAGACCCTTTCATAATAACACACTTTTGACAGTGCCTTTACAGATCTTCAAAACACCATTCTTTGAAGTGTTTTTCAATTCAACCGGCGATTTCGTTTTCAACATTTCGCGCTGGGAAACCGACAGTCGCTAAACCAATATGTCGCATTGCGCTAAATAAAAAAAATACCCTGGAGGTGGAAGAATGAAAGCTCATATGTTTGAGCTGGATATTCGGAAACTGGGAACGACGAAATGAAACGTTTTGTTATGTAACAATTTTCGCGAATTTAATTTGCCGAATAAAATGCGCAGTTCCGAGGCCCCCAAATCGAATAATCCCTCATAATACTGTTTTTCATGTACCAGGAACCAAGAATCATGTAAACCAGGAATGCTTCATGTAAACCAGGAATGTTAGTTCTGAAGGACCCTGAAAGAATGCTATGACAAAGGCCCCAAACTGTCTTAATCTGACCCCACATCTTTCCTGAAACATCGATACTATTTGAAGACTGGTGCGGTGTTAACACCAAAATCTGCTTGAAAATTTCTAGATTTTCGTGAGACATCTGTGCAAGTATACATGAAATTTACTATATACGAGATTCTCGAAAACCGCATTTTTTACCCATCTGTAACTACAAATCATCAGGATCAAAATGTTCAGATATACATAAAAGAGCACGTAACTTGATGAAATTATCTGTTACTACTGGAGTATTTGTCTGTAGCTCAGGAGGGAAATCACAAAGGGTCTATTTTACATATCCACGTTCTCTTGCGTAGCCAATCCCCGGATTTTTTAACTCCTTCATGTAATCATAACGCGGAGTCTTTAACAACGATCTTTCACTATAAAGGTATTTATGAATTTCATGCATCATATTTTCCTGAAATTAACCAGTAAATGGGGAATTTAAACATATCATTTACTGATGAATTTTAAAGTAACTTCTGTTTTGCCTCATATGCTGCATATTTGAAAGAAATCAAAATAGTTCGATCAATTCTCATGTATCCTCATCATTCATCTTATCAGTAGATCATCGACAGAGCATTAAAAGTATTCATAATAAATAGTTAGAAATTACAGACTATATTAAATCCAAATAACACTCAAACACTAGTTAATTCTTTTTTCTTCGAAAATATATGCATGAAAGAGCAAAGTAATTCATTATTAGTATTGTTTCATTATTTAGTATTGTTTAATTTGATTAGCTGCGATAATAATTTATATCGTACAGCATCATTTTGTGTAGAAAACATTTGGGATGGGCCACCCAGAAGGGAAAGTGGTTAGTGACTCTGACTACCGGATCGAAGTGCCCGGGTACAAATCCTGGAGAAGGCATGGATGTTATTTATCCGTCTCTTTATCTGTTCAACGGTAGCTCACCTGTTATGTGCCTCCTTCCGGCCGTAGAGCAGTGGCCAACGCTTGTAAATGGCTAACGTTTGCTATTTGCGGGGGAGGTAGGAATGAATTGGGGATGATACAATAACATTTAATTGTGTAATAGTGCTTTGTACTTCCAAAGAATTGAATTTTCTAATGTTCATGTTTTATTTTTTTTACTTCCAAAATATTCATTTTCATTCTATAATCCTAAACATTTCTGTTAAAAATGAGAGAAAGGAATAGTTTCTGCTGAGTATGACTTCCAATAAGCAACCATGCTGCGCGTATTAATAAGTAGCTTAGCGTGTATGACTAAACGATTGAATTATTTATTTTATATGAAAAAAAAAGGAATTACATTTTACAAATGGCAACATCTTACCTTGATTCTATAATGTGCAAATTAATGCCACAAAGCGATTTTTGATATTTAATATATATATATATATATATATATATACCCTTCATATACAAGGATAATAAAATTAGTAGACAATATGTCATCCTTTAGTAGAAATAACCACTAGAATGCACTTAGGCATTGATAAATCTTATATATATAGTTTATTTCATAATGACAAAACAATTTTTTAAAAACAAAATATAAACATGCCTAGTATTTTCGCGTATTAAGCTGCTGAAAAATGATTAGTAAAGACATAAAATAAGAAATGAGAACAAATTTTTCACAAAGATAAAAATTTGAAAATAATAATAATAAATTTAAAATAATCCTATAAATGACATTAAGAATTTAAAAATGTTAAAAGCTAAACTTTTCCAACAAGCATTGCCCCAATTAAAGAAATTTAAAGAAAAACGAACATAATAGAAGAGGAATCGGCTAATTCTTGATACAAAAAAGCAAGGATTTTTGTAGAAGAGGAATTTCAATTGATTTTAGTGTTCCTTTTCCTGACGAAGTGGCATTGAAGTTTATTGAATTCCTCTTCTTCTATTGTGTTTGTTTCCTTTAAATTTCTTTAATTTTTGGAATTGGGGTATTGCTTGTTCGAAAAGTTTTGCCTTTTAACATTTTTAAATTCTTTATTGCATTTATAGGATTATTTGAAATTTATTATTATGAATTTCAATTTTTGAGAAAAATTAGTTCTTAATTTCTTACTTTATGTCTTTACTGATATAAATAGTCTATGATAGTCTTTTGTATGTATTTATATAATATTCTATATTATATATATATATATATATATATAGATATATATGTGAAATCGGTTACTTACTGTCTAGGATATGATGTTTGTAAACTTACTTTCCGATGTGGCTGTCTAGGGGCTAATAAACTAGTCCGATTTATGTAAAACTTGAATATTTAATGAAACATGAAGAGTTGCTACAAACTACAAAGTAATTACGAGTACATACATAGAAGGAAATAGATGAGATTATTTACAAACGAAGAGAAGGAATCGTATTTCATAAGCAAAACATCTTTGAATCGCGTCATCGTCTTAATACCGGAATCGTCTGCCTTCTATCATCGGAAAAGTAAAAGATTTATTTTCACAGCTTGTCTCGTCATCCGATTATAAATGAACGATGCCAACCCACAACTGCTCTCGTCCATCCTGATGGAATGCGGCCTCGCATTCTCGTAGCACCACTGTCTACATCTAGGGATCTGAAAAATAAAATTAAAAAAAAAAAAAAAGAGATTTTTAGTACTACTATTGATGGAAAAGTCGTCTTAAATGGTTTATTTCAGCCATCTTTTCTCATCATCTTAACATCCTCAGAAATAACGGCGTTAGCTCTTCTTAATGCTCTTTCAGTGTTCGTTCATCTTTAACAGTCTATCTGAATACATGTATTTTACAAACACCTCTTCCTTTGATGTTGTCTGGAACAATTCATCTTCGTATTTACGTCTTCTTAAACATCATCTGAATACGTCTTCTGAATGCGTCTTTTTAGATACCGTCTGGATACGTCTTCTGTATGCGTCTTTTTAGATACCGTCTGGATACGTCTTCTGAATGCGTCTTAGATATCTTCAAGATCCGTCAGTCGAATGCGTCTTCTCAAAATCATCTTCTTTAAGCCGTCTTCCTTTATACATTTCATCCTTAGACATCATCTTCAGTCTTCTTAAATTAGTTCACGTCTTTAAAATATAGTCCATAGTCAAATCGGGAGAAATTGTCTAGTCGGGAAAAACGTCTAAATCAGGAATCATCAAAATTGGTATTTCATTATCAAAGATCGTCTGTCCATGGTTTCAGGTATTCAGCACAGGTACTAGTCTTGAACGGTCCTTCCGTAAAAACCAACCTTCTCCACGTCGTATGTGTCATTAGGCTTCACCTTGTGATTTTGTATGGACCTAAAAACTTGGATTTTAGCTTATACCTGGCCCTAGTTGAGTGCGTTTAATAGCTACCATATCATTGATCTTGTATTTACGATGGAGTTTTTCGACTTCGATGTAAGTCTTTCGATTTCTTCCTGGATCTTCCGAATCTGACTCTTTCGCCCTCTTTACGTAGATTTTCTCTAGACTCGATAAAGTCCCTCTGAATTCAGCTTCTATTAGTTCTTTGAATCTTCCTGTCATTATTCGTCTTTATCTTCGTACCAAACAAAAGCTTCGAAAGGTGACGAATTGATACTCCTCTGAAAAGTCGAACTAATTATTTGTTGGACGTCATTTACATGTTTGTACCATTTCGAAGGGTCATCTATAGCCAACTTAGAAATGATCTGATATGATAGTGGAATTCAACCGCTTCTACTTGTCCATTGGCTCTTGGTAGTCCTGTTGTGATTAAGGATAGATGAATATTTTCCTTAGTACAATAATCAGCAAATTTTGAGAAGTAAATGCAGTACCTCTGTCAGCTTACTATATTGCAGGGATTTCCAAACAATGATTTTTGAATTTAAAGTTTAGCTATTACTTCTTTACTATAGGTGGTTTTAGTTGGATATAACCCAACAAATTTTGTAAACGAATCAATAACCGCGAAAATGTATTTATAATTCTTGTTAGAACTCTCCAAAGGTCCTAAATGGTCTATGTGGTAAGTGTTTAGAGGAATATCTCTTTAGGTAAAGGATATAATCCTTCCTTCTTTCCAGATTTCGGTGGCCAGTATACAGGTAATACAATTTGCGATACATTTTTCAATTTCTCTTTCAATTTAGGGATATAAAAATGTTGTCTCACATGTTCTTCAGTACGTTTGGCAGCAAAATGACCTCGTTCATGTGCGTCTTAATTTACTTCAATTTGCATAATCTCAGGTACTACTAGTGCTTCAATTCCATTCACCATTTTGTAAAGCACGTAATTCCGAAACAATAATTTTCTATGGCTTAGACTTCAAACTTCTTTATAACTT